TCGATATAACCATCCATCATCCAAACTCCAACCCCAACCCCAACCACCAACCTAACCTAACCCGTCGAACTCGGCCCCACAACAACCGTACTAGTCACCGACCCCAACAACGTAACCACCACCGTACTAGTCGGCGGCGTCAAAGTCAACAACTCCACACTCGAACCCGGCAACGACGAAGAACCCGAACTAGGCGTCGAAACCACAGCAGCAGCCGTAGTAACCGACGAATTTCTACCTCCAGCTGCAGAGGAATCAGTAGTACAAGCCCCTTCGGGACAATATCCATGATTACATGTAAAACTGCATAAACCGGTATAATCTGCATTTTCGCCCGGTAGGGGAAATCCCGGGGTGTTGGTGATAGGAGGAGCGGGGATAGCGGTGGTAGAGAATTGGAGACAGGTGCAGGGAGAGGGACAATAGCCGAAGTTGCAGGAGAAGTTGCAGAGGCCGAGGTAGTTTCCTGGTCCGGTGCCGTTGACGCAGGTTTGTCCGACGGGGGAAGTGGTTGAGGGGGCCGCGGATGAGATTGTTGTTCCTGTTGATGAGGAGGTCGAGGAACTAGGAGTTGGGGAACTTGAAGATGCTGAGTTGGAGTTGCTAAGTCCGACTCCTAGTCCTATTGCTAATCCGATGATGGCGAGAAATAATAGTAGTATCAAGAACCAAAAAAACCATTTCCTCATTCCACATATACGTTTCTGTTTGAGGCTTTCGGGAGGTGGTGAATCTTCGATAGGTAAGGGTATTATTATTACTGATTTTATATTCATTTATGAGGTGGAAAGCCGGAGGAGGTGATTCCAGCCCTAGAGGGACATTATAACCGGGTTCACTGACGTTCAAGGTGCCACCGTATGCAGCTCCCGCGGAATACGGTTGGAATTTTATATCTTTGTCCATGGGTGATTCTTCGGATCGGGCGTTGCAGTCATCGTCTGGTACGACTTGGAGACCTTCGTGGTCTTCTTGTAGACGCACGGTGGGACTGTTGGGGCTATTTGACATTTTTGTGGTTGAGATGATGATAGGGATGTCTTGGATTTGTGTCGGTGAGTGTGAGGACTATCTGGACAGTTTGTGAATGTGAGGAAATGATCATACTGTTGAAAGAAGTGGTAGTGTTCCGCAAAGGGGGTAGTTTTTCGCTATAGATATATCTTTGTTCTTTCTTGGATAATATTTTATTTTGATATCTTTGCACTCCAGAGCACTACCAATAGAAAAGTTGTAGTCTAGTAGAAATAATTCCCATAACCAATAACTAGCAATGTACTGAGATTTCTTCTCGGAAAAACTTTGTTCTCACCACGTGGGACACTCCGAACAGATTTTGCTTTGTCTTTACTAAGAACAAAGACTTATTGTTATATACACATGGCACGAAGGTATAGCGGAGAAATTCCTGTGGCATGAACAAAGACGTTGAGATTAGAAGTGGTGAAAATCGGAGTAATCGAACAATGAAAGAACTTGTGCCTTGCTTCTAGAAAGTTTCTAAAAAAGAACTTTTGGTTGGTAATAATTTCCCATTTACAATTGTCAATTTTCGATTGGCTCACTAAAGCCATAAATGGTAGAAAGAAAGATCACAAAAAGTAGTGCAGCAGATTCAAATCAATAATTGCGAAGATTGCCACCGGATCGCAATGGCGCATATCGTATGCGACCAATTCCCAATTATATTCAAGCAAGACAAACTCCTATTGAATTTTCTCAAACACTTCGTATCATGACCGACCCTTTTGATTCGCCCTAAACTAGATCGCACATATTTTCCCAAGCTAGATCGCACATATCATCCATCCTACGCTGCAGCAGAAGCATTATCTCTAATCCTTCTATCCTTCTCAATAAGTGCTATCGCACCCAAAACAACCGTAACCTCCCATCTCTCACCCCATCCATGCGGTCTTCCACTATCTAACAAACCAATTTTCGCCACCATATCCATATTCGTAGTAGCTGGCTGTGACCAAGCAGCCAAAACCTCCCCAGTAGAAATCCTCACGAGTTTAGACCCCCTACTCCTGCCCCCTAAGCCTGCGACTGCTTCTCCGGAGCTTCGCTTCCATTGAAATTCTTCTTGACTTTCATTATCAAATGTGTACGTAAAGTCCCAGACTGGTGAGAGAAGACCTGATGATTGTAGTGTTGATGAAGTATTGCCTACCACGATATCGGTTTTGGAAGAAGAGTCATGGAACTTGACGGTTCCCATTACAGCGGTGGGGGAGGAGACAGTAATTGAAGGTTTGTCGGAGAGATTCGATGTAGTGATTATCATGAAGGGTGTAGTTATGTGGTGCTCTGAGAGAACCAATTTTGTCGAGCCATCTCTGTAGACGCCGAATACTGCGGGAAAGAGGTAGGATTTTCCACCAACGAGGAAAGATAATTGCTGCTGTGTATGGAATCTTTGTGCAGAATATGATCCTGAGGTTGAGGGGGTTTGAATTTCAGCATATGAACTGCTGAATGATTGGCTTTGACTCTTTGTCTTCGATGAACTCGAAGTATTGTATGGAGAGGTGCTCATGGTGGCGTAGGTGCGATGCCAAAAATAGTAAAGGATGTCAAAGTCTATTTGATTTGTGTTGTAAGACTTACTCTGCAAGAAAAATTCATAGTAGAAAATGGGAATAAAGGTGTGATTGATCCATCCGATTAATCAATTTGGATGAGATCAAAAACCAGATAATCTTGATTCACTGGGAATCTTCAAAGATATGTACTATTGTCAAAATGTAGTATATGCAGGACAAGATAGTTTGGCAATCATCGTAGGTCATATCATTTTTTGATCAAACCAATCTTTGTGTGAAGAATTTCATGCTGAGAGTCAACTTTACAAGGAAATTCACGTACCTAGGCACGACAAGCACCACCACAACCATTTAATCCTGAGATCCCCATACAACTTAACCAATATTCTCAAAGAACCCCCACGTTGAGGTGAATTCCTCAGTCGGGGAATGTGTATGGTAAAAGAAGCTTAGACAACCAAGTCCGAAATCCAATAAATAACCCTAATAGTGGTATGGGATGGTACGATTCTCTGTGTAACCCTAACCATCAAGCATCTTTGTGATGTATCCTGACACATGGAATTAGTATACTGACTACTATCATAGATAGTCTAAACAGACTCGGAATATAGATACACAAATCTCAAAGTAATCTTACATTCTTTTATGTATGTTAGATAATTTAGTAGTAGTATTTATATAATATTATATTAAGTTTGTTATGATCACGTGTGATTGATATTACAATGAGAGATCTGTTTGTCCAGATAAATATATGATGAACTAATGAATCAGGACACTAGAAGACATCTGTTCAGGATTCTGTGCATGAGAAAGTAATTGTCAAATCTAGACTGGAACTTTAGTGGGAGGTAAGGATCTTGAACTCCCAGAATCATTGGATTATCGAATCCAGTTTGCATAATGAAGGATGATGTAGTCTTCAAACGATATCTAATTTATTACAGAGTGACTTCATATATTGCTCGGTAAGTTTGCATAAGGTTTTTTCAAGGGCCTAGCTGGGTATAAGATGCTATCTTAAGGTCTATCAGAAGTCTAAGCGAGAAAGATCACTGAGAGGCAGCTACTTGAATTATCACGAGAAAATTTCAAAATCATATCAAGTAAAACCATGATTCAGGTATGCCAATGACTGAATTCAAAAAGGATAACTAACAGCTAACTAATAGCGAAATGAAGAGAATGTGGATTGCGTCATGAATATCATCCCGAAATAACTGATTGTGGTTTTGTGAGAGAAAGATGATGGCTTTTTTTCCGAGCAGGAGTCCTGAAAATCAACATAAGAAAAATTCCTCCTCCTCGTTATTAACCAAGAGTCATGCGGGGATGACAGTAGTACCATGCTTCCAGGAGCCATTCTCATTCTCAAGCGTGCCAACTTCATTGACAGGGTTCAAGTTTCTGAAGAACAAGGTGATCTTGTTCTCAACTGAAGTAGCGCCCAACTTCGAGCCTGGGAAGAAATTGATCAATTCTTCCTCTTTCTTGCCATCGGTGCAATGAATAATCTTGTTAGACTTTGAGACGTAGAAGAGATGGACGCTTCCGTCCTTGGTCATGGTGCAAGCAAGCGGTGTTGTGGCTTGAACCTTGTCTTTCGGAATGAAGGTGCCTCGGTCTGGCAGACAATTAGCTTGGAAAAATTATTATAACAGAATGTAGAAACTAGTACTTACCATGCCATGTGTTGTTTTGATTTTCGTAGAGTATGATGCTGTAGTCATGGTGCTGGAGGAACACCCTGATCTTTCCATTCCCAATTACACAGGCTAGAGCGGTTCCAGGGAGTTCATCACCCCACTTTTCTTCGAGAATAGTCTCTGTATGCCATGGATCTTTTGGAGTGCGTCGAATTTCGACGATGCCCATCTTGCCATCCTTGGAGCTTTGAATGAACCTGGTTAGTTTTCAGAATCGACTAATCAAGATGATAACCTACGCTGAAAAGTATGCCCATTGTGAACCATTCGGGTTCCAACCAGTGCCTTGGTTGAATGAGCCGCTGGTCAACTTCGAATATTGCTCTGGTCCTTTCCTGACTTCGTCTGGGACCTTAGCGTCCTCCCAAATTGGATTGTCTCCCTTCATGCGCTTGACTTTCTCCGTCAATTGCTTATCCTTGTTCATGTAGAGGAGATGAATCTACGAAGTATGTTAGTCAATACAAGCAAGCACCGAGGACCAATACATACTGAGGGCTGGTTATCGAAATTTGCGTCTTTGTCTACATAGTAGCATGTCATAGAAGAGCCATTGTAATCTCCATCTTTAGCAATGATAGTATCTTGAGTAGTCCAAACATTGCCGCCATCTGGAGATCGCGCTTCGAGAATGTTTTGGCCGTCTTGGAAGAAAAGATGCAAGACTTGATCGGGGGCAGAAGTGCAAGCAAGCTCCGTGGTAAGAAGAGACATTTTGATGTTATTGATACAATCGACTTAAGTATGAGTGTTGGTATGTAAATAAACAGTGATGGATATCGAGGCTTTGTTCATTCTTCCATGGAGATTTAAGGTGTATATATAGACGATTTTGCAGCCGTGCAACGCCGAAAGTCCTCGATTTCAGTTCAACGAAAATTGAGGGAAACCATTCAAAATCTTCATGTCTGCACTTGCCCCTCATTTGAATACGACCTCTTCAACCTATCCGCATCGTCCATGGTGAAAATCCATATGTGATTGCATGGAAGAACCAGCATTCTCAAAGCACCCACAGGCAATATGGCAAATCGAAGGATCAAATTCGACTCCTTGCAGTATCGTATGATCAGATTCAGTCAAAGAAATGAGGAGAAGATGGACTCGGAGCCTTGGATTAGGAGGATTTTGAGTCCCAACATTGAGAATGAGCAAGTTAGCCGCCACTGGATGTAGGAAGGCAGCAGATTGAGTCGAAATAGATGATATGGCTGATTTCAAAGTTCGGTCGCCAACAGAAATATTTGCTGGTTCTTGATAGTGACATACTGCAGGGATAGTATTGAAAATGCAAAAGCAAGTCTTTAGGTGTCTGTCGATGCTGTTCTCAACTGTAATGCCTTCTTGCCATGCAAATTTACGTATGCCATGGAAATTTCGAGGGATTTGTCCAACCTTGGCAAAACGCTACATTGCTTTGATACGTGAACTTGCGGAGACAGTTTGCACTCATTCATATAGCAGTTTTTGGTCCATCTCGGGGGCGGGCTTTGGCATGGAGTTGAAAAGGCACCACCAGACAACGATGAAAAAACTAGTAACAGGAACGACGAGAGTAAAGATCGATTGGTAGCGACATTAATTGTCACGGTGCACAAGTCGAAGAGTGAGCTGACATCCCCTGCATTTCTTGACAAAAGCCTTTCATCGTGAATGTCGTGATACCAGCCAATATTAAATTATAGGGCCTAGTAATGAGGAGAGGTTGCTGATCTGAAAAATTGTTCAATACTAAGACCTGCGATGCGTGAAGCGCGGAAGATCAAGATCCAAGCCTGGCCTTGAGTGGTTGGCTACAACTTTCACCTCCTCAATTATGTGTAACACACACGCGCGGGTATACACGGGAGATTCAAATTACTCGAGATCTTTAAAAAAGTTCGTAACGTAATAGAATTGAAGCACAAAACTGTTCTGGCCCATCAATATCTGAAGTATGGTAAAGGCTGCTTACACAACATTGATTTGTGAAAGAGGGGAAAATGAAATGAGTGTATTGGCAATCCTTATTTGCTCCATACAACAAGATTAACACTGCAAGGCCAAAGAAAAACAACATGTACAGAAAGAATCAAGGAGATCCCCTCTCCTTGGCGTTTCGATGACTTAACATCAGGGTCTGGTTGGAGAGGAAGGTGAATGAATACCACTCAACATCTTTTCCTTCGATGAAAGGATACCTAGGTAGAGATCGACACGTGACTTTACCTTTTCTCCCACCGCTTTCTCTAACAAAAGCTTCGTTGCTGACTCAGCGCGCTTGGCGATACTCAGCTAACTCACAAACTTATTACGCACCATCTTCTGGCTCCGTAATTTCATTTACCAGATATCTCCAAGTATATTCTAGTCACTACTGATGAGATGATGAATTTACAATATGACTACTATTGTTTTCCGTTGCTCCTAACCTTACTCTTCTTATCTGTCCCAATGCTTCCAGCGCTTCCACATTATTTTCTAAGAGGAGAACTCACAGTACATTCACAATTGTAGTTTTGTTTTAAGCTTGCGACTTACTTACCGGGTATCTGATAAGAGATTATGGCTTCAGATGTTAGGTGCATAACTATATCGTAAGCAACCCTCCCCATCAAATGCTGAAATCAAGCCCGGCCAATGTACCAGCCATTTGACCCTATGTTTCTGCCTTAGTGTTGTAGTCCAACTATTAGTGTTAGAAACCTATAAGTAAGTTTACATAAGGAAATGATCTCAAGAACATATTATGAGGCGTGTGCAAAGAAGTCCAACAACCTGTCAGCGCGGCTATCATGTTAGCCACGACCACTGTACCCACACGGCTTTTACCACCATTCGAGTGAACTTCTTAGACTTTGAAGCTGGTATATCTTCGACTTCTACTAGGAAGTTCCATCCTTCGATGATTATACCATATTTATATGTCATTGAAAGTTTCATCCCCGAATCTTAGCCCCACCTTGGTTCAAACACCAATAACACAACACGCTCTCTTTTGGATCCCTCGACTCCGAAGCTTTCAGTTTAATAATGGTTCAGATTCTGAGCACAACCATTTATACATACTTCTTCTGCTCACACCATCTTAACCCCTCCGGGTTATGGTGTTGAGTTTGACTCTGGGGTATTCATATCAGCAAAAATCACATCTACATAATCCATTCGACGGAGAATAGATGGATATGCCGCAGGATGACAATCACCAGGAGACATGCATGGAGCGTACATCAGCTTTTCTAGGGAGGAATGAATAGTTTCTACACACTCCTACTTTCGCCATCCTAGACGACCATGCCGCAACCACCTGAGAACTCAGCGCAGGATCATTCTCTTTATTTGGGTAACCGGGTTTTCTCGGCTATCCCTCTTCGCAGCCCATTCTTGTGATATTCGCTTTGAATTAGCGGTTCTAGCAATGGGCCCAGGAATGGCCTTTTCGGTCTCGTGAGTTGACTCTAGGAAGGATATAACAATGGCGCCTCGCCCATGATGTCTTCCTACCTATATATGGATATTAGATAGATTAGATGGCTCCACGGAAGTTGCAAATCAAAAGTCAGGGCTTTTGGCGTCTAGATGAGTTCAAATGCCCTGCTCACTTGTCATGAAACGTACTGTGTAGGAAAGCGTCTCTCGTGAGCCATGGCTGGACGAGTTCTAGTGAGAGATAAAATTGCACTTTCTTATATTAAAGCCTAGTTTTTTAAATTCTTCAATAATCATATCCAATTAACACAACTAAGTATGCTACCAATAGCTCGGCATTGAGTACAGAAAATCACTTACATATATTTCCAGTCAAATTCCCAACTAATTTCACAACTCCACTTCAGGATAAAATCAACCTGACTCCGACAAAAAGCCGATTTCTGTTGCACATCTAGGAAAATCTAGCGAATACACACCTTCCCAAGCGAACCGAGGCTAATCTGCGAGACTAACCAATCAATAAGCTGAAATCATAAGAAGCTAATTTTAAGGTTAATTTAAAGCTTGAGCTAACACGCTACAGCGCGTAGACTTTCCTTGAACAAACGCGAAAAAGTGTGACGTGAATTTACATTTCTTCTCGGTGTATTTACATGTGATGAATGATTCAGGTGTCAATGCATGATGGAGAAAGTAAATAAGGAACTGACGCTGGTGGCTTCTACGGATGATGTTTATTCTTGTTCGATTGCTACTTCGCATGTGCGCGAAAGGGAGTTGAGGGAGAAGGATGCAGGGAAAGAGGGAAGAGACGAATATTTGCAAGATGAGGGGTTGGGGGAAAATCAACAGGTGAGAGATGAGGATTTGGAAGTTAATTATTTTAAGAGTGTACAATGGTATGTATATTTACCAGTTTGATCGGAATTTCGGTTTACTAAAATTAATTAATAGGACACTCGATGGGACAACCCTCCTAACATCCTCCGCCGACAACAAAATTCGCACTTTTATTCTCCCACCTACACTCCTAGATGATGCTTCTTCCCCACTATCCCTCTCTCCCTATACAACCCACACCTATCCCACCCCCGTAAACTGTATCGCCACATACCCACACTTTACCCTCTCAGACCCCAGCACAACCCTCTACCTAAGCTGTGCGAATTCCCTCCCCATCCGACTCTGCAACATCCTCTCCCCCTCTTCCACCCCTCAAGCCTCATACAATCTCATCTGTCCCACCACCGAAAAATACCTCACTCCCTCCTCCATCCTCTGGAGCACCCCCGGAACCCACTTCCTCACCGGAACAGAATGTCTCATATCCCAGTTCGACATCTCTCATCCCGGCTCAGGACCCCTCACCAAACTCCCCACTATCCCATCTAAACGCCACAAAATGAAAGGTGGTGGTGTAGGTATGCGTGGGATTGTAAGTGCATTGTCTTTACAATCTTCGCTGGATGGGAATACCGGTTCGAGTATGAGTATGTTAGCTGCGGGGACGTGGACACGATGGGTGGGTTTATATGATGCGAATGGATTGGGGGGGACGGTGGGGACGTGGAATATTTCCTCCGCGGCGGATGCTGAAGCGGAGATAGGGGGGCAGGGAATTAGTGAGTTGGGGTGGAGTGCGTGTGGGAGGTATTTGTGGATTGCGGAACGGAAGAGTAGCGGGGTTTTGGTGTATGATGTGAGGGTTACGGGGAAATTGGTTAGTTGGTTGGAGGGGAGGGAGGCGGAGACGAATCAGAGGTTGGGGGTTGGTTGTTTTGAGGGGGAGAAGGGGATGGAGATTTGGGCTGGGGGTACGGATGGGACGGTGAGGGTTTGGGAGGGGGTTGGAGGGAGGGAGGGAGCTGTTGGGTGTGATTGGGAGTGGAAGGCTCATGATGGTATGTTTTTTATACTGTACTTCGCGAGTTTATATACTAACTCCAAAACCACAGATCCAATAGGTTCCACAGTATTACATCCATCCGGAACAGTAGTAGCGACATGTTCAGGTCAAAGAGCCGAAACAAACATTAATGCTGCTGATGATGATACATCTATAAACGCAGGAGAAGAAAGCTCCGATGATGAAAGTACTTCAGATTCACAGAAACCTTATTCTGCGATACGCAAAACTAAAAGCAGAACACTAGATAATAGTTTAAAAGTATGGAGTTTATAATATTAAATAATTTCTGCAGTATTTATCTTTCGTCTGTGTATTAATCTATCTATCTATCTATCTAGCAATTTTGTTTTGTTGTTTTTAGTTAATCCTAAGAGCGAGTATATCTTTTGTAAATCCAGCTAGATATCTATCCATCAGCTATTAAATGGTGCTTACAGCCATACAGCATACGGTGGTTATATACCATGCATCACACTACATCCCCTATTACAACAACTCACTCTCCAACCCACCATCCCCACCAACATCTGCTCCACAGCACAATCCCCAATCCAACCCCCTATTCATTCCCAAACCTGATCCACCACCTCCCCCACCCTCAGCAGAACGCCCCTGCCAATCAACCACGCCAATCTCCTTATCCTCTCCTCCTTACTCATCCTCACAAATAAACTCAATCCATATGGCCCCTCTTCAGAAATTATCCTCATCTCATTCTCATACCCTTCTTCCCCCATTTTACATCTCGGTTCCGGCTCTTTGAGTTGGATTATCGTGGCTTGTGCTGCGTAGGCGTTCATTCCTGCTCGGCGGAGCCAGAGTTCCCAGTAGGATTCTTGGTCTAGGAGGTCTATTTTCAGGGGGGATGGGGAGGAAGAGGTGGGGTTAGAGGTAGGAGAAGGGGATTGTAATGCATGTTGGATAATGAGATGAGAGATATATTTCGCCATGTTTTCGTTATTGGGGTTGGTAGGGTCGATGGGGATGTATTGCACGATTGTGCTTGCTGGTAATGTTAATGTGAAGCCGACGAAATTGGCCCAGGCGATACATTCACTATCTCCTAATTCGCTCGACGGGGAAGCAGCGAGGATAAATAGATTTTCGTATCGAGGACTGACTTTTATTAAGCGGTCTCGAATTGGAACCATGGTTTTATGTCCAGGTAGGGGTTTTTGTCTTATATGCTGGAGGGTTGTGAGGACAAGTCCGGTGGTGGGGGAAATGATGATATCGGCTTCATGGGTGAGGGTTGATGTTACGGGAGAACGGGCGACTGAGTTGGTATTCCAGACTGTGGTGTTGTGAGCTGAGAAGTCGCGCTCGCAGATCTGGAGAGTTGGAAGGAGAGTTTGAAGGGAGCGGATTAGAGGACGATTTTTGAACATGGCCGAGGAGAGAATGATGGAGATGGGAGTTGAAGGGGCGATGATGGTTGGTGTTGGGAGAGGCGAATGAGTTTCGGGGATGGATGACTGTTGGACTGAGGTTTCCTTGTTGGAGGTTGCTTGATTTGGTGGTGCAGGTGGCGCGGAAGATGCGACATTCGGAGCAAAAAATTGAGAGTTTTCAATAGGCTTAGGTATTTGTGCTCCTCGTATCTCTAAGAAATTGTTTAGTGCATTTTTCATTGAGAATATACTTCCAGACAAAGAGATTTGATCTTCAACAGTAGATCGTGTTTTTTTGGTAGTTGGCTCCACATTCATTTGGTTACGCATCTCCGGAGTGATGAACGATCTAAAACTTGTCGTCGCATCTCCGCGACTATGAGACTCTGATTGACGTGCTTGCTTTGGTCGTTGATCTATATCTTCTGTTTCGGATTTTCGTTTTCCTGTTGTCGATGATGTAATAGCAACTTCCTTTGGAAAGAAACCCAACTCAAGTTCATCTTCGTCATCTTCATCGGACTCTTCCCGAAGAATTCTAAATCCTTCCCTTTTCCAGACGAGACCTGAACTTTTGACCATTTCATCATCTTCCGGACCATATATGGACGATTCAGGAGTCTTTTCATTGCCCATTATCTCCTCTGCAATGTTTCCCAAGCTGTGTTCAAATGGTACCCATGGTACCTTCGAATGTGACTCCTTCAATCCCGGCCAACTCATAAAAGGGTCAACACTAACTCCCTCGATAAGCTCTTGCAAAGTTGAGTCGTTAGCAGTGACAATACGAGAACTTGATTCCTTCCAAGGAGGTCCAGCTACGCTAAAGTCCATCTCTGGAACCTCAACACGGTTTCGTGTGTCCACGAGCCTCTCTTGCTCAACCCGACGTTTGACCTGTTCTCCACTTTTGCCGAATGCTTCCTCGAGGAACTTGGTTTCAATTGTGGGCTCAGGAGTTCCCGGTTGAGGTTTATTGCTGAGCAAAAACGTTTCCACGACGTTATTGAAGTGTACGCTTTTGCAACCTGGTTCTTCAAATGGCTTCGGTGGGGTCAAAATCTCTTCTACTTTCCTACTTCCCGCAACAACTCGTTTATTTTCTAGAGGTGAAGAGGTTGGATAGAGCTTTTTGATGCATTCTGGTGGAGAGGATAAGCTTCCAGGTATTGTACATTGGTCATCGGACGTCGAAAGTGTTGCTTGACTTGCCGGTTTGTTGCGCATAGGAGCCGGCAGATCTTCCATGAAAACCTCATCCTCAATCTTCTTGAGATCCAGCGATGTAAGAGATTCAGGATCTGAAAGCAACGGTATTTCGCAAGCCAAAGGAAGAAATGGGAGAGGGCTATCAGGCAGCGGTACAAAAATTGGAGAAAGCGGTGGTGTTACATCACTGGAGACTGGAAATTTCTGAATCAATTAGCATGGAGTTACGAGTAAATGAACACATCTGACGGAATTAGAACTTACTTTTGGATGTGCTCTTTCAGCTTCCCAAATCTTTTGCTCATCCTCTTTTGTTAATGTTGCCTTCAAGGTCGTATGCAGGGAAATCATTGCATTTTTCGTCACCTCAATCTTCTCATTCGCTACAATATCGAAAATCTCGGTTTCGAAATTGTAAAACTCGGGTGGAAATTCCAACCCATCATTGTTCTCGACACTGACCAACTCTAGCGGTAATCTAATATCTTGAGGTTTCACTTCGAATCCCTCCCTTCTTGCAAATTCTCGAAAATCAGATTCATGGTCACTACGTAACAATGGTGATTCGACTCTCATATACTTCGATTTTTTACTACCAAGAAATGGATATACCAGAGCATTAATAGATTCCCGACTTTCATTCTCCGCCACTGATGTAAGAAGTCGCATGGCGTTTGCAGATATAGACATTCGCTCATTTGTATTGGATTCGGCTTTAACATTGAGCTGTGGTAGATGACTGTCATTCAGGTCGCTGATGAACTTGTGATAAACATCTTCCTTCATAGAAAGTAAAATATCCACCGATGTATCATCGAGTTGATGATCTCGAGCTATACCGACCGAACGAGCAAACCCAAAGACGGGAGGATCATCTTCCTCTTCCTCTTCCGAAAACCCTTGCGCATCTGGTAGTTGGGACAATATTTGGTTTGTTGGGTCATGGCTCATAGTATAATCCATTGTGTTCTCTTGATCATCCATAGTATAATCCATTGCATCCTCTTGAGAGCTCAAGGTATTACCCAGGCCATCGTCCTGAGACTGTCCCATACTATCCATAGTGTACTCCATCATAAGATCGTGTTGGAGGAACGAACTATTGAACAAGTTCACAAACCGCGTTCATGAAAACTATATACTTCACCAATCTCTTCTGGATGATCTCTGGGGAGGAAAAACGACCGGGAGAGAAACACTCAAGTTCTCTTCATTCTTTCTTAATAACTTCATTGAAGAGACCAAACAACAGAATAGTTTATGTAGGTAGTTATGTGATAGATGGAAATGAAAGTGAAAGTGAAAAGTGAAATCAGAGTAGAGGTATCTGCCACGTGATATCGGGCTTCCGTTGAGAGGCACATCTATGTTTTGAAAGGTACTATACAATTCAATACAGCCTCCGCAATATGAAAACTACTCACAATACCCAACGTCAATTTGAGTTAAGATCTACAAACAAAGATTATTTCAAGATTGATAACCCACGAAAAGCTACTGCTAGAGCAGCACGTGATGAAGCCACATCACCATGGGAATCCATGGACGAGCCAGAATGCAGGTCTCAGCGCTTGATCATGACGAACTATAGTAAACATCGATCATCAATTCCTTGACAATCACTGCTTCATGTCATGACCTGCTAGAACCCGGAGAAAGATGCTGCAATCCCGCATAGGAAGATAAGAAGAAACAGCTCACAGAGACGCAATTCCTTCTTGAACGACAACAATCGATTGCAAGCTTGCGATAATATAAAGATCCAAAGCGTTGAATCCCTTACCAGTATTCAAACGCTGACGCATCTCCATATTCGATCCTATATTCACTCATGCAACGCGGTTGTCGTGAAAAAAACTCTTGTAGTTAAGGATTACATAAGAACACATAACCAGAACTCTTTTGTTGCACATCTAAGATGTTACAACAACCCTCACTAGAGGTTTTCAACTTGTTAATTGAGCTAGCTATCTCTAATGCAAAGCTATTTTAGTACAGTCTCGCTTATCACACTATCATTTATTTAATATAATAAAATAATGAATAATGCTAAACTTCAATATCAAAATGATTTTGATTATATCATTTAATTTCCAAAATAATCGAATTTGAAAATATAATTTTATAATAATATATCATTTTGAGTTTTTAGAATAATTAAAATAATCAATAAAATTAATAGATTATATAATATTGATATTATTTATCGATGTTATGAGGTTTGCCGTCTAGATCATGTGGAAGTGCTGTTACGACGGATCTCACATACCTAACATCACGTGATTAGCATCATGTGATATGAGGATCCCAGTAGGCTCAGCTGTCCCAGTACAACTGGGACAACTGGGAGCACTGGGACGCATGCCACGATGGTCTATATAATCAAGATGGATTTCCTTTGTATAGAGCTTCGTGCTCAAGATCAATCATTTAGTATACCCTACTATTAGTTACGAATTGCATATCATTATTGTCATTACTTTAAGTCCCTGCTTGACGCCTAGTTATAAACCTACTTCGAGAGCCTAGAGCACTTCCACGTGATCTAGACGGCAAACCTTGTAACACTATTTGACATCTAGTTATAAATTGCTTTAAAAGCCTAGAGCACTTCCATATGATCTAGACTGCAAACCTCATAACATGATATTAATAAACTTTATATTAATTCATTTTTATAACTTTATTATATTTTTTCAAAAAATAACTAACTTACTTTTCATAAGAAATACATTAGATATCTAAGAAATTCTATTTCTTATATCCACTTCATAATATCTTCAAAAATTTGAATAAAAATAACCTCATTTTTGGGAATCTACATCACCATTCCTATGTAGGATTTGACCTTCCCTTATCAGGAAAGGCTGTCGAGCGATAACTAGTTTCTTAACAAACTGAAAACCTCTCCTTTCAAAACGATTTGAAAACAATTTTCAAAATCCGTCCCTCGTTCAAATAAGTGCAGCAACTCCGACCCAGTAAACAGTCTTTTAAAATTCCATCACAATTCATCCACATATAATATCCATATTTTAAAAATGAGTTAAGTATTATTGATATGATCTCAATTGATACTATATTTCATTTTTATAATTGAAGCTTTTTGATATGAGAGATAGTGATTCAAAATAATTTTTACTGTCTGGGGAGTTAATGTCAGTCACATGATTGACAGACAGTCACGAAAGTTTGGATTCAAATATGGAGAATAAATACAATTGTTTAGTAAATCTGTATATTTTATGTGTGGAAATCCGTATAGGATTTAATTCGCTATCAAAGAACTCCTCCAATGCCGAAGCAATAATATATCCATCTACCAAAGTACCATGACCTCATTCCCAAGAATGTAGCAAAGTTAAACTCCCTGCCTCGATTCCCATTTCCCAAACTCCTTAACCAACACAAAGCTATTTACAAGTCCAGGCTTTCATCTCAATCATTATAATTGCTCTGTCCACTCCCATCTTTATTAACAACAGGTAATCCATATTTCTCACCGAATTCTTCTTCCTGACTCCTCGCGCCTTCCTCCAAAACTGGCTTCTCCCCATGACAGCATACCCTCACAGCATGTCTCCGATGCGGCGCAAATCCATAAGAAGCCGTATGATTCGAAATCCTATTATCCCAAAACGCCACATCATCCTTTCCCCATTGAAACCTCACATGCAGTTCTTGAGTTGTCGAAACAACCTCATTCAGGTATGCAAGGATAGTATCACTTTCAACTTTTGGGACACCAACGATTTTGGTAACGAATCCCGGGTTGAAGAATAGTGATTTCCAGCCTGTGACAGGATGTGATCGGATGAGCGGGTGTTCTGTGGTGATTGGATCTCTCCTCACTGGTCTACCTAAAGCCCGTGACCCTTCGGCTTGTAGATGGGATGTGTGGAGTGCGGTTAGGGATTCGAGATATTTTTGCATAGGTGCGGAAAGCGCATCATAAGCTGCGTATTGAGAAGACCACAAAGTGTCACCGCCTCCACCACGAGGAGGACCTGTAAGGACCTTGAGAGATGTATATGATGGTGGTTGGATCTCGTATGTTACGTCCGAATGCCAGAGGAAAGTGGGTGTAAAGAGTGCTCTCTGATCTTTGGAATTCTCGTCTGTATATACCACATGTACATCATCTAAATCACCGCGTTTTGGGACGGAAGTGGTAGCATGTTTATGCAGTGTCCCGAAATAAGAACCTAACTTGCGTTGTGCTTCAATGTCAAAGTTCTTTTGATTGCGGAAAAAAACAACGCCACGAATTGAAATGAGTCGAGCAAGATCATTCTTGGCAGCATCCGTTAAATTGGCTAGATCAACGCCATGCACTTCCGTTCCGATTTTGGGGACGTAGTCAAATACATCGGTTGCAGTGGCCAATAAATCCTTGAAGGTATCAGAACCTAAAAGTCCTTTGTCTGAATATGGAAGCTCTTCTAGGGCCGGCCATTTCTTATCTGGAAAGGAAGGTCGGAGGTCTTCATGTTCGTAGGTGTCATGCTTCTCGACTATAGTGCGCCCTGGAGTATAGGACAGTGTGGGTTTTGTGGAGGTAGATGAAGCTTTGGATGGGAGGGAAGCTGGTATGCCGATTTGAGTTGGAGCTTGTTCAAAGCCGACTTCTAGTGAGGGAGCCATTACTTGAAAAACGACACAAGATGGAGAAATAGTAAAGTTTTTTGATCCACACAGAAAGATTGGTATCTGATCTCGGTAGGTAACAATGGGAATGGTTTGGACGTGGTTTGGGGAATTATGTCTACATGGAAATCTACCTATATAAGACTGATCCCAAATGACATGGCGCCATCAGCCCCATCAAGCACACCATCTTGCGTTTAGAAACTCTAAAATCAACAAATTAAGGAATGGGTAAGCTTGAAACTTCACTTGACATGCACACCCCGCATACGCTTGCTTCCTCTGGAGCAAAAATCCAGGCACACACAGTAAAGTAGTAATGCAATCTGCACTTAATTATTATTAAACCTGTACTCGCAAGTCTAATTTGCGGAAACCTATTGTTCTCTGGCCCGTACCGGGAGCTTAACAATACGTTCACTCAGGCTCACCATTGCCACTTCATGAGAATATTCTGCCTGGGTTCACAAGAATCTCCAAATCAATTGTCCACCGCCATTCTCCGTAGTCAAGTTTCATTCCCTGGGGCAAGACCATGGAATGCTTTTTGTTGCGGAGCCAAGGCTAAAGATCGACCCAAAACATGTGTGGGGAATATGATAACGGCATCATTTCTAGAATAAAGTACCGGTGGTACCATTTCAAATATATCTTTTCTTCCAACTCGTCATTCTTTAACAAAGACACCTTCAAATATCTCTAATGCATTGACAATCCCAGTGAACTAGAGCCACAAGCCTCCACAAAGCACCCAGATCCCTGATTGGTGAAACGCATGAGCTGACGTTTTGTCCCCAGAATTTACTTAGTAATATTCAACGACACTCGCCATCGAGAGGATCTAAGGCGTGATCGCTTTCAATGTCGATGATTCCGATTCTGATAAGAAGTACGAAATAGTATAAAGTTTCCATCGAATCTTGCATCGAAAGTTGGCGGTCAGACTTCTGACTGTATGGTAGATCACCTCATAGATATCGCCATATCACGGGATGTAAGAACGCCCCACGAGGAACTAGTTTAGTGTCCGCTGGGACACATATTTTGATGATATAGGACTGGAGATTAAGTGAAATGGTTGTAATGCTTGACTGTGAAAAGATTAATATGCAGGCAGGCATTTGTCTGTGTAGCAGATTTGGTTAGGAATGACCGTCTGCTGTTTTTGCCCAGGACAAGGTGTGGCTGAAATTTAATATTGATCACCAGCCACATCACTCAAAATGGGCTACGAAATAGGTTCTCAACAGGTCAAGGCACAGTTAATGAATTCGAAGATAGAACATTAGTTTTCATTTTTGGTATCTCCAATCAATGCATGCTTGCTTGCTTTTATCGTGAAAGTGCCGACAAGAATGCTACGTAGAAGTACGAACACATATACTCGCAACCCAAACTCCTAAACTCCACCCATCCAACCACCTACATCAATTTCTAGTCCCCGTTAGAACGGATTCCCTAGCCCGTTCTACTCTATATATACCCAACCCTCAATAAACGCCGCCTCTCCCCCTCACACTTCCCCCAAACCCTGTTGGCGCTTCATTCCTCCTATCTCTATCCCCAGGTCCCGTAAAACTCCCCAGCTGTAACGCTTGAATGCGTTCCCTACTTGCGCCAATCTTCCCTGCCACCTGTAAAATGCTTTGCTCAAACTCAACAAGTGCCAATCCTAACTCCTGGACCGGATTTTCCTGCTGATAAGCTCTTCCATTTCTTCGCGCAAGTAAAGCCTGTGTTTGTTGCGCTGTACTTTGTTCTAAACTCCTTAGATGTGCCTCAATCTCCGAGAAGTTGCTGTGGTATTTCTTGAGTGTAGCATCTAATTCATCAGCCGTAGAGGAAAAATATGATACCAAATCCTGAGCATCAGCGTCATTGGCTGCACTGCTGGGATTATTCGTAGATTTTGTGGCCCAGATGCCGGGGGTTTGATATGGTGCGGGTAATTTTAGATTGTCAATTGCGCGGAAACTTAGAGTTGCATTGTCGGCATCCTTTTTGACTAATTGACGGACTTGATCAATTTCTGCGGCGTCGCGTTCCATGGCTTCCTCCATGCCGAGTAATTTCCTTCGGCAAAATTCGACGTCGTTGGGAACGTGCTCTAGAAGCTTGCCATGCTGGGGCATAATGGCTTCGCAGTCGTTTTTCATACCGATTTGCGCTTGAATCACTTTATCAAAATGTTCGATTTGTTTTTGTACCGTCTCATTAAGATCATTGAATCTTGTGGTTCCGCGCATTTGACTAAGATCAATTTGGACACCTGGAACAAGTTGTGGTTGTTGGGCTTGACCCAAAAGACGACTACCACCCAACATGTTATTGGTTGTTTGGCCTTGTTGTTGATTTTGAGCTGGTGCGCCGAAAAGGGAGGAGGTTTGCTGTGATTGCGGTTGGGTTTGTTGACTTGCTCCACTGATCTAGTTAGTCAACATATCATAATTTCTGTTCGCAACGAGAGCTTACAAGAGACCTCCAGATGCTGCAGGTTTTGCTTGATTTAAATTTCCAAATAATCCACCCCCATTCTGTGCCGGTTGTGACGTAGCAGTACTACCAAAAAGTCCACCACCTGTACTTGCGCCAGCTGTTTGATTATTTGCTTGTGTTCCCCCGAGTCCACCACCAAACAATCCGCCACCTGTAGCTCCCTGTGTCTGGTTATTGCTAGTGGCCGCAGATCCGAACAATCCACCTGCTGCAGGAGCTGTTGTCGCGGTAGTCGTTGAACCAAATAATCCACCACCAGTTGAAGCCGGTTGAGAAGTATTCGTATTTCCGAACAATCCACTAGTCGCAGGTTGAGCGGGGGCAGATCCAAATAGTCCTCCACTTGCTGGCGCAGAAGTCGCAGCTGCAGGAGTCGAACCAAATAAACTACTGGTTGCAGGAGCCGCTGAAGTTGTTGAACCAAATAATCCACCAGCTTGAGGAGCAGAAGTGGTTGTGGTTGCGCCGAAAAGACCTGTTGAAGGCTTCGCAGACTGTGTACTTCCAAACATTCCTCCTGATGCCGGTTGGGCCGTTCCTGATCCGCTACTGTATTGAGGTTAGAATCGCTCTTTGTCTGTTTCGTTTCAATATTCTTTCTTTAAAATCTTCCACAATGAATTATTTTGATAGCTTTTCCCTGCTCCACAAAAAGCTTGGGCAATGAGTTGACACGACAAAATAAATAAATCCTCGGAGCGCAATAAATTGGATGAACTTACAATAAAGAATTGGCAGAATTAGTATTAATACTTAATCCACCTGGACTAGAAAGAGATCTAGTCAAGGCCATTTTTAAAATAATTTTTATTGTCGCTACCTTTGGATGATTTCCGATTAAAGGGAAAACTTCAATAGAATTTCAGGGTCAGCTTGTCCTGAAACTAAAGCCTAGACGCGATCTAATATTCACTAAGGCTAAGGCGGTCAGGCTGTTGTGTTACAGTTTCGTACTTATTGCGGCAACCACAATCCAAAAATTACAACACGGACTCCCAATAGAGCCTCAAATACTCAAAATGGATATCGATGAAGATGATGATTTTTATGCGCCGGAGGAGAGTGTGCCACTTTCATCAAATGATGCCAATCCAGCAGAAACTGCGCAGCATGAAGTCAGATCCGAACAGCAGGAGGAAGATTTAGAGGAAGGCGAGGAGGAAGATGAGGGAGAAGATAGTGATTCGGTACGATATAGCTACATTGAAGCTTTGTGAAGCTGTCGCTGATATAGATATAGGACATAGATATTATAACAGAAAAGAAAGATGGCGCTCCACCACCCTCAAAACCTAAGTACGTTTCGCGCCCAGCTCCAAAGCTCAGAATTAATGTGAAAGTAGAGGCGCAAACTACGATAATCTTCCAAATGATCTTCCGAGTCACACAAAATCTACGGCTGAAGCAGATGCGAAAGCTCCCGCAGTGAAAACTGAGAAACCAAAGAAAGCCTCCGAGACTCAAGCAATATCTGGTGCAGAATTACCTGGTTTGGCAATATCGAAAATCGATGTAAATGCAAAGCCCATGTATGAGCCAGCCGGAAAACCAATTACACAAATCAATATTGATGAAGGTATTTATCCTCCCTCAATCTCACCATCACACATATAATTAACCTGTATTTCTCCAGACCTCAATGAAAATGACAAACCTTGGAGAAGGCCCGGCACAGACATATCGGATTATTTCAACTACGGTTTTGACGAGTTTACCTGGGCTCTCTACGCCAACAAACAAGAATCATTGCGCTCGGAATTTGACCCCAATAAAATCGCACAGAATAACAAGAAGATGTTTGAGGATATGAATATGATGATGGCAATGGGTGGAATGCCCGGTATGCCAGCTGGAGGCGGAATGCCTGGGATGGAGGGAATGACACCAGAAATGATGCAACAAATGCAACAAATGATGGCGGCAAGTGGGATGGATCCTAGTCAGATGGACCCCTCAATGTTTGGGGGCGCGAATCCAGCAGGTGGGGCGGGTGGTTTTGGAGGTCAATTTGGTGGTGGAGGTTTTGATCAAAATATGATGGCGTCAGGCGGCGAAAGTAGTAATCGTGGAGGAGGCTTTGGAAGAGGCAGAGGCAGAAGGGGAAGAGGAAATTGGTAGACATGATATACTTCATAGGTCATGTCTGTTCAAATTTGGTGAGGCATCTCGATTCGTGCCGGAGTATACCCAGGAATTGTACAACAGACTTATTACTTCACTTGAGAAAGGGGTTTAGAGAGCCTACTTGTCTCGAAGCGACCACGTGATAAAAGTGATAATTAGTTTTTCACACAGATTAGTCTTCTTAGGTCTTCTATTATGGGTATTTTATGATGTTTGGGAATGATGTTTTAGGTATTATGATATCTTATTGGTAGGAAAAGCGTGTTATCTTTTATGTGTAAACCCTTTCCTATTGTCATGTATAGTATGAAGTAACGAATGAAGATTCTTTTTGTCTCAAGTGTACTTTTAATGTGCATGATATCTACCATGTTTTCCTTTAGTGGTGTGTTTTATTGGTGTTTTGGAATTATGCTTTGTTTTCGTGTATTATTGTTTAGACTGTAGTCTAGAGAAATACCCAATAATTAAATATTATGCTCCCCTCTAGCGTTTACTTCTTTGTTCACACTTCCCTTACAAAATGCTGCAGTAATTACGCTTCAAGTTTGTAATTTGGGTGATGGGTTTGCTATTTAGCTTTGCTTATGTTGTAAATTTGTAAATTCCTTCTATTAGAATGGTGGCTGTTGTTATCCCATTCATTTCCATGTCATAGTTGCATGGCGAGTCTTATGCATGCTCTGTTTCGCGAAGTCTATGGGGATTTTCTCTATGTTGTTGTGGTGCGCTGTGTGTCTATAGTTTTGGTGTTGGTGTTAGTTTTCTGTAGATTCGTGGTGGGAGGAGGGTTGGATGATTATTTAGTTTTGTGGGTTGGGAGTTGATGGAGAGTGTTTTGAATAGGGGTATTCGGTGCTATGTAAGACCTGTTAAGGTTTGTGGAATTGTTAGACATTTCTGCTGCCCAGGTTCGGTTGGGGGCCATTATGGTGGAGTATACATGTCTAGAGAATAAAGCCCGTAGTTATTTGAAGTAATATGCTGGAAAAATTGTGATATTTCGCTGCAAACTCGATATTAGATTTAGTTTTCGAAGTTGGGTCTGCTGAGTGCGCCTTGTGCTATGAGCAGAGAATAAACGGAGGATTTGAGTCTGGGAATACATTCGTCCTTGGTAACTCTCCTCACACGTTCTCCCGAAGTAACATGAATGATTAAGAAAGGAGGAAGTTGACTAGACGCGCTAAGCTCTAGTTCTCCACTGCGAGCATCTTCTTTCATGGTGCTCCTTTCTTCTTTTGTTGTATTTGTCGTCTTCTGTTATCTTTGTGTGATCTGTTGAGTCCAGTAAGTAGGAAATAGTATGACTCCTGGAAGGAAGTTCCTGTAACCTTTGGAAGAGGTAGCTGTCTTGAAGTTGCAGTGGTCAATACTACTTTCGAAGAGATATTTTAGAAGCTTCATTTTTAGTTTGTAACTGTGATGTTTATTAATGACTTTTTTGTGAATATTCTTGGGTGTGTTATTAGTTTTGAATCTTGTTTTTACTGCACAGGTAGTCTTAGTTGCAAAAGCTAATAGTGTTTGAACTTTGAGGTGAAGTCTCAATGGAATGTGGATAGGTACAGGAAAGCAACTGTCTCCGGGCCGACAAAACTAAAGATTCTGAATCCTATTAAAGTGTTTAGAGGACCTACATAGGACTAGTAAAGTAGCACTAATCCAGTTGGATATATTTCAACTACCTCAATGAAGCTCCGAGTAAGTTAGTAGTCAAATAATCCCATCCTAAATTCACTTTATGGGCCCGGACTGAACGACCTGATCTACATTTGATCAAGAGTCATATTCACTCTCGTAGGGAACTTTCTTCTACCATCTTCAGTTAATTCAATTCAGTTTCTAGGCTCAACAAGTAGCGAGAATCTTCGAAAAGGCCATCTACTGCTCCGAAGCCCTCTCAATGTAGCAAACAAAGAAGAATATTGCTTTAGAGTGAAACCATAGCTCTCCACCAAGTTGAATACCAAGTAGACTACCTAGTAGATAGTAAAATCCAGTTGCAAATATCCCATTGAGGATCATTAGAACGGAAATACTAGGCACCTCAATATACCTGCTCCGGCTCGCATATAATTGGGCCGGGAATATGCCCGAAGCTTAACTTCTAGCCCGTCTTCCCCTCAAAGAAGCTTAAATAGATCGAGGACCCATGTAGGCGTCAGTACTAGCCTACTATTGTAGATTTGAACCACTTCCTACCATATTTCCTCTTCGGCTTCAAAACACGAACAACTAAAACATCAAAACACAGCAAAGCTCGAAAATGGGCGATAACCCTTAGAAAACCAGAAAAGAGAAAGTTCTATCAAACATCTTCTCACCTAATCTTCCTCAAAATTGTTTGAGCTAATCTAACCAGCTTTGCTGGCTCTGGCTGCAGGTTTGTGTTAAAAACTTGGTTGTCGCACCAACTGAGCTGCAGAGATCGAGACTCAATTTCAGCGACTACATCAAGACAATTCCTATTTGCCACATTTGATATCAAGATGGCTATCTAGCCTACTCCAGGAGCACTTGACTCATTCTAATTGATTTAGGTCCGCGCCGTCCTGTTTCTGGACAATCTGCTTTGTGCCCAGGCTCATTTTCCTTCCTCATTTTTCTTACTTTCTGCCAATGTTAATATCTGCGCTTCCATTACAGGTTGCTGACTTTATTACATTCGCAGTTCTTGCGTCTTCCTAACGAGGCCTTAGCTGGAACTTAATGGACATACAACTGAGCATGCCTGCCGAAAACACGAAAAAAAAGTTCAAAAAACAAAAGATACTAAAAACGCGGGAATTGGCTCCACCGCAATTTTCGCTGATCTTGTATGGCATTACTATGGCCTCATGCTAACGCTTACTAGTGGCCGTATCGACCGGGCAACTCAACATGTTTTCAAAAATGGTATGAAATACGTTCCGTTATATCTCTCCATCGTCCCACATATGTCACGTTCAAGATTCTTGTCGCTCTCCACGGATGTAGCTACTGCGAGCGTTGGTGCTGGCCAAGGTTCCAGCAAATAGCCTCGGTGACTTCACAGGCTGTAATCAACCAGTGTTGTACCCTCTATGCGATGAAAAAAGACGTCTCGGAATGAGGTACCATGTATCCTGAGTCTGAACCAGCCCACATTGAGTTTGGACATGCTCCAAGTCGGAGTCAAGCATGATACTCCGGAGTCCTCTCTAAGGTCCCCCAGAATCAAAACCCACTCGTTACCTTGAAAATTCCACCATTCTTATAGACACCTCCATCAAAACTTTTGCCTTGAATAAATATGATGATTGATCCACGGTTATTGTTGATCATTGGTGAATTCAAGTCACCTCGAAAGATGCGCTAACAGATTTTTCTTCATCTAGTATCTATTTAAGTTCACCTTCAACTTTCGAAGGAAAACCCAACACAAAGCTGCAGTTTAACTTTGATCCTTCATGCCTCCGGCATGGCACGGACTTCAGTCCTTTCAAAGGTATGCTCAGCTACCTCAGAACCTCTTCACTCGTCAAGCTTCGTTTCCCTGTTTTGGTTTTCTTCTTTATGTCTCATTTGCTTCTCGCTGTTGTTATTTTGTTTTGTCACTGTCATGGATCATTCTCATCACCCGAAAGTTTTGAGATTTTTTTCAATCTCAGAGCCACTTGGTAGTCATAGAATTGCTTCTGATATATGTGATTATGATGTCAATTTTGTTTATATCAACATGAGACTTACATATTTATTGTTCGTTGAACATTAATCCTAGCAGTTGCTGATGACTGAAGTCTTTCTCACATTCATAGCTTTACTCTTAGTAATCCACAAGTGTTGATGTGCAATCCATTTACCGTGGATGTGGATATTTGTTGTCTGCGAGGGCCCAATGGTATTTCTCATCAAAGCTGCATGAGTATCATTGTGATGTGATGTTAGCCACCTACGGCTTCTGTCACTTGAAGATATCGATATTAAAACCATGTCAAATCAATACCCTGTTCATCTGACAGCATGTCTGTGACGGGTTGTGTATGCAAGCCAAACACCCGTTCATGGTGTGAAAACTGAGGATGGATGAGATGTTTATACAAAACACAGAGGAGTTTGTTGATTCCTTCATCACTTCCACTATTCCAGTGGTATAATTCAGAGGGCTGTCTATCATAGCTTTGTCATAGTAAATCAAGACCTTTACCAAGCGCTAGTGAAAGGAACATCTGCTCCAAATAAAACTCGTATGTGAGATGTTTTTTATCTTCAGGGCCGTATCACTAAGTGATGTTTGTGATTCAGCCTTCTTATTAGTTTGACCATCTATAATTGCTGTACAATCACTTTTTTTCCTTCAACAAAAATGCATTCACCATGCAGCTCCGGGTTCCTTGAACTCTTATCTTTATGTTGTGGCTATAGTCTGAAATACAAATACATACTGTGATTGTTTCCAACATTCAATAGTACTCAATATCAATAATTTTTGCTGTATCGTCCGATGATCGAGAGGCTCACTCAAGTGGGCCCACTTTTCACTTCAAAGAGACTGCGGAAAGGGGTTCAGACGAGAATTCAAAACCTCATTATATGCATTGGCAACAGCGTACTCATTTCCCTTCCAAGCCACCACCTTTTGCTATTGCTTGATTTTCACAATTGGCCGTACAAAAAACCTACTTTTTCATTACCTCGGTGCTGTATTGCGCTTTTCAAGCTTCTCGATCAACCAATACAGCTCCTCGCTTGATTCATTTCCCTCTTCAAAACAGCCTCGATTCACAATCTCGATTCACTTATATTTATTCTTGATCACATTGGCTGGATGCCCACTTTATTCGAGTTCACTTCTCAACTGACCCGCTTCCTTTCTCTTGTTTTAAAGAACAGTAAGTACCCCGCCCGAACTTACTTTCTCCTCTAACCTTCTTAATTCCTACAATCTCTTTCCTTCGATCTCTTGTACAATTCAATACTCCACCACAACCAATACCTACTTAAAGAGAATCAATACAAATTCCATCAGATATTCTCTTGTTCGTTATTCTCTTACTTGATATTCCCTTTCTTGTCTACTTCCAACACCACTTTATCTCTTCATTTACATATCCAAATCATACTGTCGTATCCAAACTTGTCTGTTCGTTTTTCGATATACAGAAATTAAATAACCAATTTTAACAGCTTAGACACCAGCTTGCAGTTAGTACAATCTTTCATGTTAAATCACTTATCATTCCTATTTTCGATTCCTTTCAATAAATAATTCACCTTCAAAAAATATTGACCAACCATAATTCAACTTCTAGAAGATGGACCAAGAAGATGATATTCCCGAGTACGGTGCCGGTGGGCATGTTTCGGAGAGCGGTCAAATACGTTTCGCACCTCCTGAGGTGCCCAATGGTCCGTATCGGGCCATTTATCCAGACTTCGAGGCAGTCAAGCAGGCGAAAGCGGAGCGGATCGAGAAAAGAGTTGCCGATGCCAATGACGTCGGAATTTATGATGGCGCTCCGAACAACCCCGTGGACCAGCGGCGTTTCATTGGAGACTTGTATAATGCATTTAATTCGATCGAAACAGAGGGCGAAGATGCAATCATCGATAAGCCTACAAAAAACGGGAAGTTATCCCAGGCTGCCTTAAAATTCCAAACGGGTCGTTATCCGCCGGCAGCAATTGAGGAAGTCTGTTGGGAGATTTTTGTAAGTATAGCCCTACTACCTTTCTCAACCTTATCCACATCAGATACTGATGTAGCTATTATAGGACAGAGCTCGCTATGCACAAATGGATGTGAGACTTTTGGAAGCATTCCACGAGCACAAATTTGAGGGGACTTTGATTCACTCTACATTTGGTGCACGATGGACAGCTATCGTTGGCGCCTGCGCTGTAAGTAAAAAAATCCGCTGCTATCGGGAACATGTTCTAACTCGCTCTGTAGCGCTCTAAAGCCTTATGTAAGATGTTGTTGGATGCTCCATACCTCGATCGGTTCGTCAGTCATCCACAAGCCGAGCTCAAGGTAAGTGATATTATCCTGTTCTTTTCTAATCGGCTGTCTCTAACTCACATCTCTGTAGATGAAGCTCAACAACAAGAAGATCAACGCTCAGCGCGATGAACAAAACGAAATAGGGCGGAGTTTTCTCAGCAAAGGCCTTGGAAAGGAAGAGGCTGCAGAAGCAATTGCACATTTGCATCCTGGAGATGAAGATTCTTTTGACAGGTATGCTCATCTCAGCCCTCGAAAACCCTCCAATGGCAATGCCGCTGGCCCAACTACACCTCTCGCGCCCGTTCGTATCCAACCTGCTCGATCTGCCGTTGCAAACTCAGCCAAGCGCAAGAAGATATCAGAGTCTGAGGACGAATATGATGATGACGAGGATGAATACATAGATTCAGCTATTAGATCCAGTATTAAACCTAACCTCAGAACTCGTCGGGCTACTTTAAAGACCCCTACACGATCGAACACAACCAACTCCGTCATGGATAAGACTCCTCAAAGTAAGCGAGCAAAAGTACCTTCGACCATCGCAAGTCAACGTCGTATTGAGGACATGGCTCCTCTGAAATCCCAGGCCCAATCAGATGCTGAGTCCGATGAGATTTATAGGATGGCTATCTGTAGGCTCCTCGGTCTTAATCCAAAGCACGCTCAAGTCATGAAATACAGCCTAGAAGATCTCAGATATTATGCGAGAGCTTACAATGGTGAATTCGAAGGATCACCATGGACACATAAAGACTATCCTGGATTTGTTGGTATCGAATGGACTCTTAAAGATGCAAACAATAACGATTATGAGCATTTTTCTCAGATCATCAAGTCATTGGGACCGCTTGCTGCTCTGCGTGGAGATTTCGTCGATGGCAAACTCATGAAGAATAAAAACAAAATGTTCCATCCCAAATCATCAGCTGATCGAGAAGCTCTTGGTGCCACCGCGAATGCTTTTGGCTTTCATGGTGGATATCCTGCTCCTGTGAGCATTAAATCACATGGAAGCCCCGATATGCTAGCTGAGAACTCTACATTCTCTATTCCCACACGACAACCTGTTTCACAAATGAATGCGTATCAGCCGCTCCGCCAGGATTATTATCAAGGTCAAGCTGCATATGGTCAAGTTGGCTCATCATATCAATCCTACAACCATAACCATACTCCCCAAAGCTACACAAACTCTCCCCACAATTATATCTCCCCAACTAAGAGTTACGAAGGTGATGCATTTCAACAAGGAAGCCTTGGTGGCCAACAAACCTTTGCTCATGCAGCTTACGGCTCTACAAATTATGGTTATAATTCTCAAGCTGCTCCTATACTCAGTGATGGTCTCCCATACGGTAGTCACAACAACAACGCTTATGCTTCCTCAATTAGAGGTCAAAGTACTGGATATGATGCTAGTCATACTACTCAAAGCAGCTCCTATACTTCCCCTCAACTTGGTCAGGGCGGAGGAATCTTTCATCATCCACATCTCACCAGTCTCACTTCTCGCCATATCGATCCACAATATCCAGATCCTGATGACTGTTCAAGTTAGCAAAAACAACAATAGATTCCCAGGTATGAATCTCAGTCATCAAATGGTCTTCAGCTAAATTTGCGTTCTTTTCAACTACAAGGCTTCAGATATGAACTGCATTCTAAATTCTTATGGTCTATGACAGACAGGAATGGTTTCAAAGAACTTTCTTTCTACCACTTACAATGAATTCTATTTTACGTTGCTCTCGATGCACTTCTCGATTTTATCTTACGAATTTTACGAAACTTCATAATACTTCGACGAGATATTCCCGAAAACCTCAATATTTGACGGGTCAGTGTGATACAATCGAGTTCTTACATGCACCTCTTTACGTCATTCTTGCTTCTTGCAGGATATTATTGCGATAACTTTACTCTCTGGGCTTTCACATCGACTTTTTGGACATCAAACACAACTACATTCATCTCCTCCACGCTCTACTTTCTCAACCGCACAATACTATTTCGATCAGTCAACCTCGTGAGCTCTAGTTCCACTTCCCATATAAGCGTTCTTCATTCCCTGGATTATGCCACCAACTCAGCGTCTCGCATGATCTTCCTTCAACAAATGGACTCACTGAGCTCCTCAACATCTCAAAATCCTTTTCCACCTCTCCATATCTCAACTACCAAGCGAACAAAATCCACCGCAGCATAAAGAACCAGTACAACACAAACATCCGAGTTTCCAAATATAATATAATACGATAAGATACCCATGATACCTTCCATATGCATCAACTTACATTCGCATCATCAACAACTTCCACAACACCCCTTTTTCATACAGGTGTCAGGCAGGCATGGGTTTTGCAATCAATCACGAGCATAGCATAACATTGCATAGCATGTGCATGGTGTTTATTGGCGCTCACATCACACATCACACATCTCGCATCTATCTCTCTAGGATACTTTTCTGGAAAACAAAAACAATAACAATAACATAGCGATGGAGTTAGAGATGGAGTTGGAGTTACGAAGGAAAGAAAAAATAAAGAAGATACCCTATGTCTTTCCAGCCTTTTCCAGCCTTTTCAAGTTATTTTCCAGCGATATTTTTGGCTTTTCGTTTTCCGTTCGGTGGGAGTTTTCTCTTCTTTCTTTCTTTTCTTCTAGTTAGTAATCACAATCTTCGAGTTCCTTCTTTCTCTTCTCCTTCTACTCAATGATGGGAAATGGGAAATTTATTTACGCTTTACATTTTCAATGTAATATAATAATCTTTTTTTTATTTTCTTGTGAGATCTTTTGTTCCAATTGTTTACTAGCTTGGTCGCTTGCTAGGAGTGGAATTTGGATTTCTCAAGTTATTTTAGGTAATTAGCTATTAAAATGAAACTAAATAAATAATATATGTATTTCTCAACAGATCTGATATACACTTGTGAATTAATAATATTTATTAGTGATTTTTATAGAATTTATAAATTGTGAAAGTATTGTATTGATCCATTAACGAGTTATCAAACTTTTATAGATCTTATATAATGAACTTAATTTCAAGTTATCAAGATGAATAAGTAAATAAATAAATAAATAAATAAATAATGATATTGATTTTTGATGTCTATAATATATTCATTATAAGATTGATATTAATAAGATACTTGTGTTACTTCACTTATACGGTGCTCGGTTAACCTTATTTTATTTTATTGAATATTTTTGGTAGAATTACGAGATGGGATTGATATCCAATGTCCAATGTCCGATGAGGGAAGGGGTTATTGAATAATTTTGCTCTGGTTTGTTTTCTTGTTATGAATTAGATCGAATACTGGGAGAGGGATGGGTATGATACCTCTTCCACCTGTGCGTCAGATATACATGTGTCATGGTACGCTGTTGTATGAGAAATTTCTTGCAATGAAACATGATAGATGGGTAACTGTTTAGGTATTAATTCTCTACTCTATAATCCGAATCTATTGGCTCTACATATTCTACCAAGAGCCATGTATGTATGCAGAATTAAAGCCCCTCTTCTACTTTACCAAAATTCCATACCTCTCATATGGGAAATTTTCTAAAGTCTCCAAATAATCACCCCATCCATCTCCTACTGTTCCTACAATACCATCTTCCTTCAAGTTTCCCCCTTCTCCAGTCGACCCCGCCAATACCTCTCCTTCCCTCCCTACAAACTCTCCCTTCAATTCCGGATGCGGACACCATACTACTCTCATTCCCGCTCTTCTTCCACTCTCCACACCCGGTACCGAATCCTCAAATACAAGACATTCCTCCGGTTTCACAGGCTCCTCTCCTTCTTCCAAACTCTGGTTTATAGTATCCAACGCTAGCAGATAAATATCCGGAGCAGGTTTACCCCGTCCAGGCCCAATTCGTGGATCATCACCCAAAACCTTTCTATGTGGAGGGAAGACTTCAAAAAGTGCCACATGATTCATAGTTTTCGCATCGTACATTTCCTTATGACTACTCGTCGCCAGAGCAATGTGTAACTTCCTCTCCTTCTCCCCTTCCTTCGCTTTCGTCCTCGCAATCCCCAAATCTTCTAATAATTTCGTTACACCAGGTAATGGCATACAAGTTTGGAATAATTCTCTCTTTAACGATTCTTGTTCTTCGTTATATTGTTCTCTGGAAATTGGGAGATTGGCCCAATTGAAAAAGATTTCGGTGGCGGAGGCTGCGGGACGTCCTTGGAGTTGTGCTTTGATGGACCAAGGAAGTGGAGGTCTGTTGTATTTTTTCAAGAGAGTGTTCGTTACGATGGTGTATTTGTCTTCGGAGTCGAGGAGGAGTCCATCCATGTCAAAGAGACAGGCTCGGATTGGGGGGAAACTGGCATGGTGTTAGCCAGAGGGTGGTGACGGGAAAGGGTGGTAATGAGTTTTGAGCTAGAAACATACTCTGTCCGGGGTGCCATGATTGTGATATTTTGTTGCGGCTCTGATGGTGTTGAAGTCAAGAGTTGTGGAGGGTGAAGTTGGAGGTAAGGATGGGATATCATTTGGCGGGGTATATTAATATATCCATGCGGTCAATGCGGCCGATGCGGGATGAATTCCGCTTATAGCATAATTCCCATGCCAGCAAACCAAACAAACAGACACTTTGAAATCATTCATTCATCATGTCAACACGCACCGAAAAGTTCCAGCGCAAGCCAAGGGATCCTACCTCTGATATATCAGAAGCTGCAGAAGCTGAAGAAATCCTAAGATTTCCACCCGAAGAAGAAGCTGTGCGTATTTTCATATCCTTTCGCGATGCGCAGCTCCATTTATTTACTTAATGCTAATGATATAAATGACAGTCTCTCCTCGCTGAATCTAACACCCTTAAAGCTACTGCAAATAATCTATTTTCTAAGAAATCCTACAAAGAAGCTATCGATACATATGGAAGCGCACTATCAACTTGTCCGAAATATTTAGAATACGAAAGGGCGGTATTGAAGAGTAATGTTGCGGCTTGTCATTTAAAATTAGAGAAGTGGAAGGAAGCTGCCAAAGCAAGTTCAGAAGCTTTAGAAGGGTTGGAAAGATTACAGAAAAAAGAGGCAGAAGAGAAAGACGAGGATGGAAATGAGGACGCAAAGAAAGAGGAGGTGAAGGAAGAAGAAGAAGCTGATGAGGAAATCATAAGTGAAGGAGCTACAAAAGCGGAGGATATGAGAGGAAAGGATATTGATGATGCGAAAGAGACTCGAGCAAAGGATATTGAGAGGATAAAAGCGAAAGCTTTGATGAGGAGGGCGAGGGCTAGAAGTGAACAGGATGGATGGTCTACTCTAGCTGGTGCTGTGGAAGGTACAGTATTTTATCTCATTCTCAGATATCCCAGTCTGCCATTCAGGCTTGTAGTAACCTCTCGAACTTCGAAATATAGACTACAAACTTCTCTCAACATTTACCAACCTCTCTGCCGTCGATCGAAAAACAGTTCAAACACAGCTTCGTCTTTTACCACCTAGAAGTAAAGCAGCTCAAGATCGAGAAATGGGAGAAATGATGGGAAAGTTAAAGCAGGTTAGTTGATTAATTTTTGTAAGTCCTATTTCTTTTATTCATAAAAGCTTACGGTTGGAATACGATACTGTAGTTCGGAAATGGCATATTAAGTCCATTCGGATTATCTACAGATAATTTTCAAATGGTCAAAGATGAGAAAACTGGTGGGTATAGTATGAATTTCAATCAAGGTGGGAATTCGTGATTACGATTATTTGGTGATGCCCAAAAATCGAAACTTGATATTGTACCAAGATAGGACTTAAGACTGCATCATGATGATTGATCGATCACATGAGCATATTGAGTGGAGTTCGGGTCATACCGAGGTATTACATCCATGCATTTTTTAGTAGTCTAGATGTTACTGGAATGTACGAGGATACTTGATTTTGAGAATAGCCCTGGCATCGCAACAAACCTCAAACAAATATGATGAATGATGAATGACTCCAGACACGCTCAATGTGCTTCGGAAACTATTTGAGAACAAGAATGTAACCCGCTTCACAGAATCTAAACTACCTAGTATCCTTGTCTCTGTGATTTATTATTATACATTGATATTGCATATAATACACTGACTAACAAAATCCATAAATCCCAATATCCAACAACCCCATATCCCAAATCAAGAAACCCATCGATCATCATTCATCCCTCACTCGAAAATCTTCCCCACGAACAAAATCCCCCACATGTTCCATATTCCCATATTCCATGTTAGGAATATCTCCTTTTACTCGCTTACTCACCTAGTACATATGTATATCATAGTTTATATAAGATTTACAACTTTTCTTCCTGGTTATTTTCATACTAATGTATTAATTGTAACGATACTGTACTGGAGGCAGCGGCTGCCTGAGGTTTCGTCTGATTGGTAGTTGTAGGTTAAGGCTTTATCACTGGTATTTACTTGGAAGTGAATTCGTTACTAGATCAAGTAGAATGTAGGTAAACTAATTGATAATTAAGTTGAGCACGAAGCTCCTATACTATAAAAATAATGAATGTTTATATACTGGTCTTTTCTAGGAGCCTGAAGGAGCCTACGCTCCTGGAGGCTTCATCACGTGATCCCTACTTGTCCTATGTGATAGTGAATCGTGACAATTATATATATATTATATTTACAAAATTCCTGTTCTTTCACAAAGTTAGAACTTTAGAATTTTTGCTTTTTGTTTTGTTTTGTGTTTTTGTTTTTATTTTTGAGTGTGGTAGAATTGTAGGATTGTGATCCTTTTAAAGAATCTAAAGGATTGAGAGATTATATTTGTGGTTTTTTTTGATAAGATATTAATATTAATGTTATTTTTTCTCTTTTATAAAGTAAGGGTTAATATATTCTATAGCTGAGGTCGAATTACAAGTATTGAAAGAAATAATATACAGCGTTGGAATATTTACATATCTTTGTATATACTCGAGTATATACTCGAGTATACTATACATATATACCTGCTGATCTACCTGTATTGATACACTTCTCCGCTATCAAATATCTACATGGTAGATCAAATCTCATTAATCAAGATCTATATCATCATCCATCCATCCATCCATCTCTTCCTTCAATCTTCCCGATCTCAAATCAATAATCCCTTTTACCTCATACCTCATATCTCATCCCAAACCCTCAAACACCATCTAGAACCTCAACCTCCAAATCCCAAGTCTCATCCCTCAAATCGCAGTCCAATGACGTCACATCATATCCACTAACCCAACCCAACCAACCAACCAACTTCCATCTAGCGAATCCCCCTGATAGACCCACCCTTCCAATTCCCCTGGCCAGCCCAGCCGCATTAGAGATCCGCAGCAGGTCCTCCGTATCAGTATCACATGCGAAGATCTGTGCTTTTTATTTAGATAAATAGTACATATCCAATACCTACCCAATTATCCATTCATTTTTTCCCATACGAATTTTACATTCCCATCTTTTCGATTTATTTGTTTACTTGCTTATTTACAATAATCATAAATAAGACTCGAGAATTTCAATTACGATTACGATTGCGATTGCGATTTCAATTGTATAGATACGGATCAGGGATATCTATACGTACGAACAGAGAGACAGACGAACGGAAATATATTTATACGACGAGACGAAAAACAACAAAAGAAAAGAAAAAGAAAAAATGGCACCTAATTTCCAACTTCTCACAAAACCGACTTCGGGGTCTCCATCTACATCTACATCCTCACCCACAACCTCACAAGCCCTCTCCCGATCTTCCTCTCCTTCTCCCTCCCCCTCCTCTTTCCACCCCTCTTTCCACTCTTCCCCCCAACACTCCCAGCACTCCACCTCCCAAATAACCTTCTCGATCCTCCTGACGCTCTACAAACTCCTCGACACCATATCTCGGCGCCTAGCATATGAATTTGCATTATTCATGTTAGGGGGTGGATTTAATTTAATGTTGGTTTTGTTGTGGCCGGGGTGGATACCGATTTTGGGGGTGGTGGGGGGGTGCTGGTGGGTTTATGGGTGAGGATGGATTGGGAGAAGGGAAATGGGAAAAGGGATGATTTGTTGGGTTGGAGGATTTTGGGGTGAGGGGGAGGACTGGTTGAGTAGAGGGGAATGAAATGAACGTTTCAATTAGGGGATGGTGAAAGGATGGGAGAATAGAGGATGAGAAGGACAAGTGACAAGGTAAGAAAGAATAGGAATTTCGATTGTATCCATATTATTCAATTGGATATCTAGCGCTAATATTTCATTTTCTATCCAGGTCTTATTTCTTATTCCCTCGAGACTCCAAGTCTACTCATATATCTATGTATCCGTCCATCCAATTAAACGGGCCTAGACCCTGACATACAAATATCCGCCATCTTCCACTTTCCAACGTTCGATATTCCAACACCAAAACCATCGAGCATCTTTTCAAGAAAAGAAAAATGCATTTCCACCCGCGTCCCTCTTAACTTCCGTCTGATAATCCTTCTCGGGATTAAATTCCTGCCATACACTAGCTGGATATATATGTTTATTCCTTTCGTACCATCTGCGATCAACTACTTTAGTAAAGGTTGGATCATCATTGAATCCCTCTAATTCCTCGACTTTGGTTGTGGGGGTTTTGGTACCACTAGAGGCGGAAGGACGTGAAAGTGGATTATAGGAATCTGGAATAGGGGAGTCGGTGTCGAGGGGGGCTATTGAAGCTGTAGGAGGCGGTGAGGAACTATGGGGAAAGAGAATTTGGTTGTTCGGTCCGAGAGTGCGATTTATGATAAAGTAGTAGAAATCGTAGTGCTAAAAATCAAAATCATCAGCATCATATCCAATCATATTCAAACATACACGTTAAAGGGAAAAACAACTCACATGGGGAATAATTAAACCCCCTCTAACCAACATCAAATCATCCACACCAACTCTTGCCCACTCTCTATTACTATTTGTCTTCTCACCAACCCCCAACTCTGCTCCAACCTTTCTACTCCGATCCAAAAATACCCAAATAAAATCTCCCTTCTTAACCCTCGCAACTCCACCTGGTATATTCGTTCCATCATAAAACACAAACGGAATAGCTATTTCAGTCCCCTTAACCGCTTCTTGGATTGCCAAAAATTCTTTTCGTAGCGATTCCCGCGTTTGCGCTTCTTTCAATAATGCCGACTTGGTAAGAGTTTTTGGTACAAATGAAACGTTTGAATTAACACCTATTTTCTTCTTTTTATTTGAAGTATCGGGAGTGCCAGATTGTGAGGGTTCGGAATCAATGCCATTATTTTCGCCTTCTTCCTCATCCATTCCAAATGAAAGTTTGGGTGTTCCTACTTTCTTTTTCTTTTTCTTGGGGGGAGCTGATTGAGTATCGCTGGGTGTGGAGGCACTGTACTAATGCTATTAGTCCTATTCATCTTATTCAATTCATCAATTCATGAATCCATCAAATCCTTCCACCCGTCTCAATCCCAACTCTCCATCTTCACCCCGAACCCAAGCGCAAAAAGAAATAAAACTAAACTCACCCATCTCCCACAGGTGTACTTGTCCCACTCCTCCCACTACCCATCTCCTGCGCATCTCTCTCCTTCATCTCCACAGCCTCAGCCCTCCGTTTTCGAAAATCAGATAATTTAACTAATCCCACAGTTTGCGTACTAAGAACATCTTCGACGGTTTTCGATTGTGATGTGAATCGCGATTGTGGATTTGGTGTTGTAGTGCGCGATGGCGTTTCAGAGGGAGGATTGGATGACATGTTTGTAGGTTGTAAATATATTGTGAGAGAATGAGCAATTCGAGATGTTTTGCATAGGTATGGAAGAAAATAAGTCTGGTCTAGTACCTAGGTGGTTGAGCTTGGATGGACTCGAGGTGTGGCTCTGTGGCTGTGCTGATGCATGGCCTTGTCATTTCATGTGATTGTGACAGAGCTGTGACGCCTCACACCTTCGGGTCACGTGGCATGCCCCGTTTGTATTTAATCACAGGAAAACTCGCTACTCTTGTTGAACGATGGCTACCCCAAGCCCCCCAAACCTCTCTAAAACACTTTCCGACAAGGCCAGCAACCTTCTCAATAAGGTCAACGATGCTCAATCCATCTTCAACCCAGTTACCCAACTCCTAGATACCTACCTAGGCTCTGAGGAAGTCCGCGCTCTCCCACCGAGTTCACGAAAACTCCTCACCTCCCTTTGCCTTGAGTTTAAGGCAACCATCGAACAGCATTTCGATGCCTTTGTTACTGGTCATCCCCCCCCTAGGGGAGCTACTACTCCGCCTGTCACCCTCCTTTCCCCTCCTTCC